GTGTGTGTGTGTGTGTGCCAGATATCTGGCTGAGCCCTCATCAGAAATGGTCTCAGTGGAGGGGTGAATTTCAAGAAGCAATTCTTAAGGAAGGAAAACGGAGAAAACGCTGAGGTATGCTAAATTACATAAGAACTGGACTGAAAATCAGTGGTAAGAGGTCTTATGAAGTGATGAGACCAATTTATTTTTTTTAATAAATCATTGTTAATATGTAGAGAAGAAGTCAGGAAAAAGGTGCAACAGCGTGTACAGCCATCTGTAAAACATTATAGAGACTCTGTCATGGTTTGGGACTACAATTCAGCCACTGGTGTTGTGATCATGTCAAAATTAATGGACTTATTAACACAGAAAAGTGCCATAAGAGTTTGATCCACCACGCAGGCATCTTGAAAACATCTGATTTGTAGGGGCTTCAGCATGACAGTCATTTCAAACACACTGCCAATGCACTAAAAGCATATCTGGATAGAAAAACATACAGTGGAACACTATCAGCTATGGCGCGACCTCCCTGGAGTCTGCCCCTCAACATTATTGAAGCAGTGTGGAATCATCTTGACAGAGAATGGAAGAAAAGGCCTTTTCTTCCATTTCCTTTTCTTCCGGCTGCCAACATACAAAGAAGAGTTTTGGATGTCCTTCAAGAAGCCCAGAGAGCTATTCCTAAAGACTACTTACAGGAATTACAAGTTTTCCAAAGATAATTCAGGCTATGTTAAAGAGAAAAGCTGGTCATACAGAATACTAACTTAGTATTTAGTATTAACTAACTTAACTCAGGCTTACTGGAATTGTACAAACTCGTTTTTTTACACAGTTTATTGTATTTCTGTGTGTGTTTGCAGATGTTTAAAAAATTGTTGCATCTATTTTCCCAGCAAAATGTAAAGAAATGAGAGGTGGCTCAAGAGTTTTGCACAGCAGTTCATGTACACCAATGTTGCTTGAAAGCCTCTCATCATTGGAGTAATACATCTAGTGAGGAAATACCTAATCATTTATTTATCTAGAAATGGCATAGAGTATACTGGAATCAGAATCAGACACTGAAATATCCACCAAATACATTTTAAGGTTCATTAAACTAAATGAGATTTTTGCAGCGCAGCTCCCTGTGACATGTGCTGTTAACAGTACTGTGCACTGCATAAAGAGGACAGAATACATGATTCGTACCCTGTGTTTAAGAAGGTAAAGGGAGAAAAAAGCGCAAGGAATTTGCAGTTGCTTTATTTCTTTTGTGCTACATTTATTTTGAAATTCAGCACATGGAATATAATATAATAACTTCCAGGGTTATATAATTAAAAGTTAACAAAATTAGATGATAAATATGGCACATAGCTAGCATTTGCCATGAAGATACATTTAGCAGAGCATTAATGCAAAACATATTTCATTGTAAATGTGAGTTCTTCAAAGCCCAGCTAACTGAAGCTACGAGCCTACATTTGCTTCACACTAACTGATATAAGCAATATACACGTACAGTATTTGCTACAACTTCGTAATATAAACACCCACCTTAACTGGCACTCTCACAACAACTGCGTACTTTTATTATCCATCCAGAGGCACATGACACATGGAGAGACAAACCAAATTGATTGCATAGAAGCATATCTGTGACAGAACAGCGCAGTCCCCTTTGTTTGAGTAGAAGGAGGTGGGCTTGATGTAAGGCCAGTCAAAGTTCCTCAGGTTCAGTGACCTTTGACAGTACCGGTCACTGAGGGCAACCAGGGCACGCACCATAGCATATTTGGCTGAGCAGCTGATGGCCGTCACTGTACGCACCTCGTCGAAGTGCAGCAGGAAACAAGGGTCATCCTGAAACCAAAGAAAATTATATTTATGGAGCACCTTTAAGAATCACTGCATTTTTTTATTGTGTTTGTTCTGTAGAAAGCTTACATTATTATAGGGCAACTAAAGCCAAATGACCATAGAGCATTCATCTTTACCTTGTCCCTCGTTAGCCCACAAACATTATGTGTTTAAGCAACTGTAGAAATTTTCCAAACGATTAATTAAAATGTGAAAAATAGATAAATAACAATGTCAAATTTATTGCTGATGAGTCACGGGAGGGTGCCAGAGCAGGAGTAAAGATTTTAATAACATAACTCATCTAGAATTTAATAGCTAAGGAGCTTGGAATTATCTTAAATTCATTTATGATTTTATCTTAATGTATTTACACCCCTGTGTGTATATGGGATACATACAGTGCTTAACAAATTTATTAGACCACTTGTCATAAAAACAAGAAAGCACCAGTATTTTAGAAATCTGTCAAAAACGTGTTTAAAACTAAAAGTTATATTATTATTTATTAAGCAAACACAAAATTTGTTTTCACATTTTTATATTTGAAAAATGCCGGTACACTGGACTTCTGCATAACATTCAATCACTAAACCTTTTCTGTTTAGGAATGCAATCACTGTAATTTGCCATCTTAATAAAATAAAAATAAAAATTAGTGTGCTTTAATATAAATCACGGATGAAAATAATAATAACAACAGCAATTTTAGCATTAAAAATATCATTTTCATTAAGGAGCTTGGTACTTACTGGTAGATTAAACATTCCAGAAACATAAAAAATGACATGGATAATTATAAATACTGTTAATTTAGTGCAGCTGTGGCATAAACAGAACATTATGGTGGTGGTCAAAGTGCAGTGACTTGGTGCACCAGTTTGGTTGGTGAAAACTGTGTTTAAATGCACTTTATAAATACATTTTAATTACTTAGTTAATAGGTACTGATAAAGCAAAATGTTCACAGAATTATTATTATGCGGTCTATGTGGTCATCAAGAATGCCATCCACATACAGTTACCCAAAAGACAGTTTGTCTCTATTTTAGCCAGTTAAGAACAATGGAAGTTACAGAAGAATTTGGCTAATTACCACGTCAGGATTTCTTCCATCAATCAGGGTAAGGTCTTTCAGGGACCAGATCTCTGCCCTCCGGTAGCACTCTTGTATGCAGGAGCGTTTGGTGAAGGATCTCTTGGATGTAGACTTTAGGGGCACAGACATCTGACAGTGCACTATACATAGCTGGACTTCTTTGTTTTTTGCAACTGCGGAAAAATGGAAAAACATCACAAACAGGTGCACTGCAGCACCGGGCTTTTCATCAGCAAGCCAGCCTTATAGATTTAACACACCCTGTGTGGTGCAGGTATACACAGCTTTTAAGGAAGTAAGTTATCAAACACATTAAAAATGTACATTTTAAGGAGGAAGATATTTACTCCTGTGTAAAAATCAAACGCATATTTCTGAGTCAACAATCAAGCTGTTTACCTGAGGCACAGAAAAAATGTCTTCCGTGCGATGGCTCTTCAATTTCAATGAACTCCACCAGTCTCTCTTTTGCAGGTCGAAACAAAACTCTCTGCATCTCCTCCCTCAGAAGAGACGACATCACTGGAGAGAGGGGGAGAAGAATCGGAGTGTCCCAAAAACAGCAACGGCAAGAAGGGGGACCAAAGAGAGCGAGAGAAACTCAAAAGAAAGGAATGAGATATCCCCCCCAAAAATACTGTGACACTGGAGAACCCTGGAATCCAGCAGTGGTGGGAGGGGAGGGAAGTGGTGATGCTCCCCGTGCCCAGACCTTCTGAAAGCATGCAGGGTTTGTGGGTTGGTTCTGTGTGAAATAAGCTCTTACTCTACCCACAAATGCACGCACACACACACCGTCCACTCTGGATCGGCATGGTCTGATGATGTATGTTAATCTTTGATTGAAGTGCTGCATTCATACCAACTTGCCCAGGAGGGAGTGAGTAGAAAGGGGGCAATAAAAGGCCAAGCTCTTCATCATTTGCGTTTTTATTGCTTCAATTAAGATCCATTATGTTATGACGGTTTCCTGCAAATATGGATTTCACTCTTGCATTTGTAGCTGACAAAAATATCTTAGATACTGTTTGTATATCATGGTTGGATAAGCATTTGAAATGTATATTTAGCATTAATTATATATGATCAGTAACTAGGGGGGTGTGGGG